TATCTATATCTATATCTATATCTATATCTATATCTATATCTATATCTATATCTATATCTATATCTATATCTATATCTATATCTATATCTATATCTATATCTATATCTATATCTATATCTATATCTATATCTATATCTATATCTATATCTCTATATCTATATCTATATCATCTATATCTATATCTATATCTATATATCTGTATCTATATCATCTATATCTATATCTCTATATCTCTATCTCTATATCTATATCTATATATCTATGTATCTCTCTATATATACATCTCTGTGTTTCTATGTATCTGTATATATTTATATATATTTATATAAGCAAAAACACCCTGTATATATTTTATGTGTATATATGTACATGTAACCACACCTGTTATATATATAATTATATTGTGTATTATATATTATATATTATATATTATATATTATATATTATATATTATATATTATATATTATATATTATTATATATTATATATTATATAATATTATATATTGTGTCATATTATATATAATATTATATATTACATAATATTATATATTGTATCATATTATATATAAATTATATATTCTATATTCTATATTCTATATTCTATTTTATATATTATATATTTTATATTATATATTTTATATTTTATTTATACACTATACAGAATATATATATTATATATTTTATTTATACATTATATAGAATAGGATAGTTGTATATATAATGTAAGTAAATTATATATTAAATATATATAATGTGTGTATCTATGTATTTCCATGTACACGTGTATATTTACATGTATATATATGTAAACAGGTTTTAATATGTTTATGTATATATTTTTAATATATAAAATATATATTATATATACTACAATATATAAAATATATAATAATATATAATAAAATATATATTGAAATACTAATATAATTAATAGAATAATTAATAGTTAATATAACGAATTAATATACTTATATAATATATATAGATATAATATTAATGATAATATAGTGTATTTAATATATAATCTATAATATAAATATGTTAATGTAATAAATATTATAATTTAATATAATTGATGTTAATATATTATATAATATATACAATATACAATAATATTTTAAATATGTTTGTATATATATATGTACATGTATATAAACATGCCTATAGATATGTGTATTTATAAGTGAAAATATGTATGTACACACACCTACATATATATATATATATATACACTTATATATATATGTACCTATACACCTGTGTGTGTATATAAATATTTATATTAAAATATAGAAATATATCTTTATGTTATATGCAGGTATGTATATTTATATATATTTGTATGTATTTATATATATGGATTCTACATATATTTTACAGATATGTATTTTATATATATTTATATATGTAATCTATAAAATATATATAATACCTATATAAAATATATAAAATACTTCTATAAAATAATACATCTATAAAACAGTAATTCTATATTTATATATATATTTATACATATATTTATATATATATTTATATATATATTTGGAGCCCTCAACCCCTCTGCCTCAAGCCCAAGTAGGGCTGAGCTCTGACTCAACAGAAATACTGGAAATGCTCAGGGGAGAAATATCCTGGGAATGTTTAGGGATGGTTGGGAACAGCCAGTGCTGCCTGGGGCTGGAAAACACCGAGCTCACAGAAAACACCAAGGTTGGGCTCTTCCTTCTGATCTCAGACCTTTTAACCTTTTATTTCCTAAGAATTCCTTCACATCTCCTGGAGATGCCTCGAGGCAAATTCCAGGTTTATCCCCTGGACTTCACTTGGGAAGAAAACTTCTGCATCTGTCGGATTTTTCTGTGCCTCAGGAGCCTCCCAATCCTTTCTTTTCTGTATTTTGACATGAAATTCCTAAGAACTGGTTTTAGGGAACGGAGTCCAACGCTGGGAGCAGGGAGAGAGGCACAGGACATGTCCCCTGGTGCCACTGAGGGGGACAGGAGACACCTGATGTCCTCTGGAGCTCCCCTGGACACACAGACCACAGAGCAGCTGGAGCACAACGCCTTTTATTCCAAAGCTGGAAGAACTGAGCTCTAAACTTTGTCTGGATTTGGCTTCAGGATTGGCAACAGTGAGGGGACGATCCCGTGGGGCTGCAGCAGTGCATCCCATTCCAGCAGCCCCCGGAGAAACGGGGATGAGACCCCCAGGAAAGCATTCCTGGGGGCGGGATGCGCTCCCAGGGCACTCAGGGAGGAAAGGAAGGAGCTCTGTCCTCACTTTTCCCCTTTCCTACTGCTTCCAAACCCGAGGCTCAGCTTTTCTTCCCCAAAACGGGGATGTTCTGCTGCAGGCACCTTGGGATGAAGCTGGAATTTGGGGCTGGCACAGGATCTAAGCTGCTTTGGCTGTCCCAGTTTGGCGTGGGATTCATCCTGACTCCCACAGAATGGACATAAGGAATCCAAGCCAGGAAAACACCAGCAGGATTTGGGGTGGATCAAGCTGGAAATTTGGCCCCAGGGGGGAACTCTCGGAGGGGAAGGGAGCTTAGCCACATCCCAGAGGGAAGATGAAGACGGCTGAAGCTCCTGGAGAGCTCCAGAATTCCCAGCCTTTGGAGTGGGGATGTCACAGCATCCGGGTCACCACCATGGCGAGGAAATCCTCGTAGCTGAGGCGGACATTTCCCACCAGCGCCGTGTCCTTCTCCCGGAAGGCGTCAGTGAGGCTCTGCAGCTGCATGCAGATGTGGATGAACCGGTCCAGTTGGATACTGGGATTGGGAGAACGCTGGGCATACCGGGCCAGCAGCAGCTGGCTGAACTGGGGGCTCAGGTTGTAGCCCATCTGGGAGAAAGCTGGGAGCAAGGAAAACTCGGATTAAACCTTCCCAAAAGGAGGGAGAGTGGCTGTGTCCTCCTCCCCCATGTCCCACACATCCCATCTCCCACTACCACCACCCTTCCCACACTTCCCACTCAGGGTGTGCACGGGCAGGGCTCTCCAGAGGAATCAAACCACAAATTCCAGGCGTTTTTCCCTCTACACACACCCAAGAGCCCCTCCCAAAAGAACAGGTTCCAGCCATGCATAGTTGAGGGGGAATTCTGGGCTTCCCGAAGGAAGTTTGTGTCCCAGCCCTGCTCATCACCTCCTGTCCTCCTGTCCCCTGGCAGCCTGGTTTATCCAGTGGACAATTCCCAAACTGCTTTGGAAGCATCCCAGGAGCTCAGAGCCCCCCAGCTCAGCTGCAGGGACCACCCCAGGAGGAATTCCAGTTTCCAGCTGGGAACAGAGCCAGGCAGTGGCACTGGGGGGGGTCAGGACAGGCCAGGCTGGTGTCTCTGCCCCTCACCCACCTTGCTGGAGCTCGCTGAAGCTGATGGAGCCGGATTGATCCCTGTCATACTGCTGGAACAGGCTTCTCCACTGCTGGATGAAGCGGAGCAGGGCGGAGAAGCCGTAGACATCAATGCGTCCTGACCGCGTCTTGTCAAACATGTCTGGGCAGGGAGGAGCAGGAACAGGGCAGGGAGGAGTGGAAAAGCTGCAGAAACTTCCAGGGAGCTCAGGATCCACACCACGGCTCCCTGGAATCCTGCTCCGATCCCAAAAATCCCCCCTCATCAGGACTGCGATCCACGGACCACTCGACCCCCAAGGCTGAGAAGAAACAGCACTGAAAGCTGAGGATGAGGCAAGCTCTGGGTCAGTCTCCACGTTTTTTACGCTTTCTCTCCCTTTCCTCCCTGTCTTTCTGGGATCTGGGGCCTGTGCAGAGCTGGGATTTCCTTTTCCAAGCAGGATTTTGGGCCCTTCACTCGTGTCCTGCACCACTGGGAGCTGCTTTGTTTGCCCAGCTGTGGCTCCAGCCAGGAGCGCTGCCCAGGGTAAACAGGAATTCTGTCGGGATGGGCTTCAGCCCAAATCCAAACAAACCAGATTAACACCAGGAAGAGGGGAAGGAGATCCCAAACTCACTGATCATGAGCAGACAGGTCTCATCATTGAACGAGGACCAGTTGTTGTTGACCAGCGCCTGCTTCAGCTCCTTGACGGAGATGAACCCGCTGCGATCCGTATCCACTGTCTGGAACCAGGAAAACGCCTCGGGATCCACCCCTGGGGGGGCATTCCCTGCGTGAGGAGAGGCCATCGGAGCTGTCACCTTCCCCTCGGCCAGGCCACGGGCAGGGCTGGTCCCGGGGGAGGCTCCCAGGGCCGGGCAGAACTTCTCCTCCTACGGGTTTTACAGCCCCGTAAAATCTCGGGAAAACAGGGCAGGAAGGGCTGGGAGGGGAAGGAATGGCTGGAGCTGGGAATAGGCTGGGAATCAGAGCCTGGGGGAGCTCTGGGATGGACAGGGAGCGATGGTGTCGCCCCACAAACCCGACAGCAGTGGGAGACGGATATGGGGTGTAAAGTTTTAGGGCTGCCTGGCACTTCCTCTTCCTCCTCCTCTTTCTCCTTTCCCTCCTCCTTTTCCTTCTTCTCCTCCTTCTCCTCCTCCTTCTCCTCCTCCTTCTCCTTCTCCTCCTCCTTCTCCTTCTCCTCCTCCTTCTCCTCCTCCTCCTCCGGGATTTCAAAATAATAAACTGGGATATTGAATTTCATTCTCTCGGTGGCTTCTGCTGAGCTGGGGATCCTCTCAACCCCCACCTCTCACCCGGGCACCGGGCTGGGGACACCCGACCCCCCGACCCCGCAGCGGGCTGGGGACACCCGAGCCCCCCGATCCCGCAGCGGGCTGGGGACCCCATCGCTCCGCACCTCTGTCCCGGGCACCGCCGCACGGAGAGCCCGGACTCACCTCCCGGGGCCGCCCCGCCGTAGGGCCCGGGCTGGGGGCCGCCGTAGGGACCCCCGGGCGGGGGTTGCCCGTAGGGTCCCGGGGGTGGCCCCCCGCCGTAGGGACCCCCGGGGTAGGGGCCGACCGGGGGGGGCTGTCCTGCGCCGGGGAAGCCCTGGGGAGGGGACACAGCCGGTGTGAGGCGGGCACCGGGATGAGCACGGGGACCTCGTATCGCTCACCCTGGACCCCCTGCGCGTTCCCCCTGGCCCCCAGACCCGGTCTCGGTCATAGTCCCGGTCCCGGTGACAGTCCCGATCCCGGTCCCTGGTCCCCGGCGCCGCTCCGGGTTCCAGTCCCGCTCCCCGGTCCCGCCCCCCGCTCCCGGTCCCCGGTCCCGCTCCCCGGTCCCGCCCCCCGCTCCCGGTCCCCGGTCCCGCTCCCCGGTCCCGCCCCCCGCTCCTCGGTCCTGCTTCCCGGTCCCGCTCCCCGCTGCCTCTCCGGTCCCGCTCCCCGGTCCCGCCCCCCGCTCCCGGTCCCGCTCCCCGGTCCCGCTCCCTGCTACCTCTCCGGTCCCGCTCCCCAGTCCCGCTCCCCAGTCCCGGTCC